TCTCAGTATCTGCAACGATTCAGGAGAAAATTCAAGGGAACATCTTAGGTGGGCCACATGGTATAATAAATTTGATTTTGAAATGGATTTTATTTAGTACCTCTTAATAACGATGTATTGTGTTGATGTATTGCAATATCTTCTTGTAGTCCCATATATTCAAAACGGAAAGTCTAGAATGTCGCAGAGGTAAGATTGAACTTCTCATTCGTGTTTCTGAGTGGGTCAACTGCTAAGATCATTATTCCCGTTAGTGTAGTGCAAGTTTATCTCTCGGGAGGTGGTGGTGATTTACCTCCGAGGGATAATGAGATCCGGCACCTTCCTACACGTCGGCTGGCGGTGTTTCCCTCAACTAGGTATCTCTCCCAGCGGGGCACCGCCCCAGCGGAAACTAGCTCTAAGCTCACGACAGGTGTCCCGGCAGGTGTAGTGCATGTGATGGTGTGTGTATGTAAGGCGTGAAGGTTAGACAAGCAAGTGGAAGGAAATGTTGCGACATTCGCCAAGAGTTGAACGGAGAATCCGCGGAAAACCACAGATGAACGCTAGAATTCTCCTTCAGACAGAATTTGATCCAGCTATCTAGCTAGTGTCAAATATTCTGCCGCCGAGTCTCGAAAGCTAAGACTTCCCGGTCATAGACAGCGCAGTGACATCAGCTGATGTCCAGAGCCACCCAAGTCCTTGTCTGTTCTGAACATTTTCTGCTGTTGGCGGGGGGCGGTGGAGTTGAGAGGCGCGGTTGGTCGCAGGTCGGCCCCCGGAGACAAGGTGGTGGTGGAGCTAGGTGAGGCGGTCAAGCTGAGCAACGCCCTGCGCTGGAAGCGCGACCACTGCGCGGCTCTGTTCGTGCACGGCCTTCACAGCTCTCCCGACGAGCCCTGCGTCGCCAAGGTCATCCAAGGTACGACGCGGCCCCGAGCCTTCTTCACTACCCCGCGCCGAGTGTGAAGTATACTGGGCCAGCTGAAATAACACGGCAACGGAGTTGGTCAAAAAGCATTTATAAATAGTCAATGATTTACAAAAATGTAAGGTCCTGGAATGCGCTCCAAATGAATTATTAATTTAACAGAAACAGTTATATAATTATAATATAATTATAATTATAAATGCAACATAATAACAATTAGTGATTGTGGAAGCACTAACGCTATGTGAATATTATAATAATAATAATGATGATAATAAAATAATAATAATAATGATTATAATAATAGAAATAAAGAGGATTTATAGTGATATTTTATCGTTTTTAGTAATAATTTTATTATATTTGTTGATAACTGTGTCGATAGCTTTAACGATTTGTAGATAACCGATACATTTAAGTGGAACATTAATACTGAATTTACGAAAGTTGGTCATACTAAAAATCTAATTTGCCAATGTTTGTCCTCTGATTTTTGCTTGTTTTTTCTATTTTGTTCCTGATGTAACAGAGGGCCGTTTCTCTGCGTTTCGTCAAAAATCAAGAAATCAAATTGTAATTAACATCTTAGTTATTGGCTGCTTGAAACACGTGAATAACTAAAACTTTCATTTATCTATTGAATTCTAGTAACTAAATTATATAACATTTTTTTAGTTAGCCTGTGTAACTAATATAAATTTCAGAGAAAATTATCACTAATAACTCGTACTACTTATAGTTGCAATTATGTGAATAATAACCAAATCGTCCAATGTTATATCACTTTCTTTTAGGGTATTTCATGTAACAGTTGATATTTGTAATTTTTCTCTGTCAATATCATATTTCATAAGCAAAGATATGGTTGTAGGAACAATAATGTTGCATTAAGTTAAGAAACGCGTCCTACTGTTTGTCCACGACAAATTGCTACACCTTCCTGATTGAACCGGAGTCTGTTCAACTTTTTAAACGAATATTTTTTTACTTAACATGTGCACAATTTGATTTATTAAGATGTAATTTAATTCCAGACAACTAGAATGTAAATTCCCAATACATCTACCTATTTGCGTTCATCTGCTCAATTTCTTACTTGCTAAGGGCTGTTCAGTCTTCAGAGCGGATTTTCCATACACATTGATGCCAAATAAAACTAGGATTACTAGAGACCTATTTGAAAAAATCAGGATCATTGGGTTAAAAAATCAGGACATTACACAAAAAGGCAGGATATTTTTATAACGAAATACAGGTACATTTTTCTACTACTACAGAAGACGGATGAATGTGCATGTGAATTCTGCGCTGTACGGTAAATTATGACTATGGCAACTTTATGATTAAGGTTTCTTCTTAGTTCTGTTTCAATATTTCCGTACAATATTACGACAAGACATACTTATTGTTCTTGTAGTGAGAACACCTAGTTTCATATCTAATATAACTTTATTTCTCTAAAGCAGTTTCATTTTTGTATGTTTATGTTAGAAATATTAAAATCACAAGAAACAATAAGTTGAAGACAGCTACCAAAACTTCAGGACTTTTGAAAATAAATCAGTACAGTCAGGAAAGGTCCAAAAATCAGGACATGTTCTGATAAAACAGGACGTCTGGTAACGTTAAAAAACTGGAAGCATGGTCGGTGTGTAATACGTAGAAACGATTCGCATTCATTTCACAAATGTTGGGTACACCCCATTACTCTAATCGGCTCATAATAACGAAATCAAGTGTTAGCTTAACAAACCCTAATCATGTGACAAGTAACGCGCCGTAAAAAAATTGTAATATTTTTGTTTTGTTTTAAACGCTGCCGCAATATAAAAATCGCCTACCTGCCGCGGCTTGCAAATTTTCCTCTTTGGGGCAGGTGACCTTGGCTCGACGGTCGCAGCCGAGACCATAAGCTGGAAGTCTGACAAGTAGGAAGGAAACTTCAGAAATCAAATCCCTCGCAGGACAAACACAGAAACAAACATTATTACAAACTAGCTTCCGAATGAAGAAGATTTTTTTCCTCCATTGGCGCAGTAACTGAATTACCAAATCGAGCATTGAACTTAATGTAACAACAGGTAGTATTGGAAAAAAAAATTAAAGAAATTTTCAAACGTTTTTCAGCTCCCTCGATACAAGAGTTTTTTGTCAATAATAATAATAATAATAATAATAATAATAATAATAATAATAATAATAATAATAATAATAATTGCTACAAATTATTTCGAGATGTTTTCATGAAAACCTTATTAAATTGTTCCTTTTCTTAAGTGTTTTAAAATGCTTACATGTTCATGCAGACACTTTGAACCGGGATCTGTAAGTTTATCTCTCTCTTTCTTCGCAACCCCTCGCAGGTAAACGTTCCCATACAATGTAGCGCTGAGTGAAGTAAAACTACTATATTAAACTTAGTACTTCATCAATTGTGGATTTCCAACGGATAAATATTAGAACATTTTGTTGTAAGTTATAATTAATCATTTTAGTCAGTATAGTTACTAATGTTAACCATTAATAAGTAAATTATTTTTTAATTTTTCCGCCTCATTACCATTCCAATCAAGCCACGCCCGCACCGTTTCTCGAAATGTTATGAATATAGATACTATGTTGAAATCATATGTATGCTAAATAGGAATAAAATGTAAGTCCGTGGTGCAGTTACAAAATAAGCCATATCACCCAGAGCAACTCTTGATTTTGGTCAAAGCATTAAATAATATATCAAGAAGAGTTTATAGTTCATGCATTTGAGGCAAAATCACGATAAACATCACTGGCAAAAACCGAGTTAGGCCCTATATATTTATAAATAGATGGATACTTCCTATAGCTGGTGCGGCTTATCTTGTTACCGCTTCAAACCTTGCAATAAAAACTTGTTGATAAGTAGATAAGGAAATGATTTTGCATCCAAAAAATAGTTTTGGGGTATTTTTTATAAATCTTCATAATATTCTCTTTAAATTGGTGTTTGCATTATGTTCATATCACTGTTACAAATCCTCCTCTGATTGGGCTTAGTTGCTGGATAGAATACCTTTTAATTAGTTACACAATGCACAGCACAAATAAACAGAAAACTTTGTTTTGAAGCTAACAAACATAAATATAAACTCTCTATCTAAAAAACAAGTCTCCAAAGAAGGAAGTAGTTATTGAATTTTTTTCATTCTGATAAGAAGTTATGGTGCTGGCGTGTTCGGAGGGTTGCATCTTTTCCCCGAAAGTTGATATTTTTAATACTAAATATATCTTTTTTTCAACATGCATTTGCCGGAAACTAAACTTTTCAGTTGTTAATAAAGGTCTCCAAAATTTACTGAAACAATTTTTTCTGATTACTTTATTATTATTATTATTATTATTATTATTATTATTATTATTATTATTATTATCCATTCTGCCAAACTATTTAGTAGAAAACCAGTAAAAATTTTGTATAACGAGAAAATATTTTGATCTACAAAACTAGTTAACCCTTTTCAAAACAGTTGTTTCAGTGTAAAACATCTGTGATCTTTAAAAATGTAGTGAGACTAACTTCATTAGATTCTGAGAATTAGACGCAAGCATTTAACATTGCCAGGATAGGGCCTTCCGTGTCCCGGAATTTCCTCCCTGCTGCTATGAATTGTGCGTGCGTGTGTGTTGCAGCGTACGTGCGTCAGCGGTCGTGGAACGTGCTGGCGCTGGACTGGAGCGGCGTGGCGGGGGCTGGGGAGGGGGATG